ACCTAATACAAAATAACTTGCCTGCCTCAAGTGGCACAACAAGCAAGTGTCCAGCTAGGATCTGAACCCACACAGCCTGACCCCTAACCCCAGAGCTTGAGAGCACTTTGCTGGTCCACCCTAAAGGAAGGAGGCAGATCCGGCCACCACCAAGTGCCTACTGTTATCTGCATTCCTCTGACGCAAAAATGCTGTGTGACAGGTACCATTACTGTGCACGTTTTTCAGATGAGGAAACTAAGTCTTGGAGAACTTGCTGCCAGCATGGGGTCATTCAACTATAAGTGAGCATGTGGGGTCCAATTCAGTCACACTCTTCCATGCAGGCATTGTGTCGAAATTAGATGCAATGAATTCCACAGAAGACTTAAACTCAGTGTAAATGGCAGTTTAGAAGCAGCTGCCCTGGGAGGAAGTGAGTCTCCTGTAGGTAAGAGTGCATAGGCACCGGCTTCCGCATCTGGGCTCAGGATGCTGGAGGCCACCCGGAGGGCTGGTTGGGGCTGCAGAGCTCACCTGGGCTGCTGTGGTTCTGGCTCCTCTCCCCCTGTTGCCTGTGAGGTCCCCACAGGGCTCATGCTTTACTTGGGACCTGACACCTTCTATTTCTTCTTCTCCCATCTTCTTTTTCTTTCTTTCTTTTATAGAGATGGAGTCCCACTATGTTGTCCAGGCTGGTCTCAAACTCTGGCCTTCAAGTGATCCTCCTTTTTCTTTGGGAACCTCAAGAGGCAAACTGGATTTCCCCATATTTCAGAACCTCCACACTGGCCCCCACAGAGGGGGAGGTTTTGGAGCTCCTTCCTCCCAGCTCCCTGGTGTCCCCTGGTCTCAGCTGAGCAGTTCATTCAAATGTTAATTTATGTGTGTTTGCTCCCCTGGGCTTTTCCCTTTCTACTCTCTTCATCATTCCAGCAGGGAGCAGGTTCTGGGTTTCTCCTCCTCAGCAGAGGTTCATGGCAGGGCAGAAAGCAGTGATCAGATGGCAAGACTCTCTTTCCTGCCTTTTGTCTCTAAAACTTGAGTGCACTGAAAAAATTCCACTGGGTGATGTGAGGAGAGAGGGAGGCCTCTGGGGATGAAGGGAAGGGAATGCCCTCTTTTTACAACTAAAAACTGGAAATGCAGATGGAGCAGGGACCAAGCAGCCTGTGGGTTCCAAGAGCAGCAGAGAGCCTTACCCTCTGACATAGAGTACAAGGAAACAATTCGCTTACAAGAAGCAGGGTGCACGCTGACCTAGGGGAGGCTGGGCTCCCATGATCCCACCACACCAAAGCTCTTTCCCAGCATGTTAAGGGGCCTGCATGGGCCAGGATGGCAGGTGGACATCACTGACCAGGGCGGGCAGATACTGATGTTTGCTGGGTGGTGGTGGGGTTGGACCACCCCCCACACTCCCTGCCTGGACACAGTGCAAGTGAAGCCACCTTTACAGATCGTTGAAGGAGTACACTGCGAGAACTAGAGTAAGGGCCTCCAAACTCTGTAAGAGAACAGGTTTAACTAAAATAATGATAATAATCAGCCTCTGTCCCCTTGTTTGTTTGATAATAGTCACTTGCCCTCTTGTTTACTTCCTTGTAACTGCTGGTAGTGGTAAAGATCTTAACTTTTCTCTGTAGAAAGCATTACCTGTTCAGAACCTAGGTTGTTTTTCAGATATCTTCCGGGTCTTACATTCCAGTGGATTGACTGACCCACCCAGGCCAAGGAACTGACTCAACTCGTCTTGGACCCCCGACTCAAGGAGCTGGGTTCCAGTGGATTGGCTGGCCCACCTAGATAGCTGGCCCATGCCAAAGACTGCCGATTCTGCCAGAAACCAGCTCATTAGCAGACCCTGATTGCCTAATCTGCTGCCCACTAAACTATCTTTAAAAACCCTGTCCCCTAACCCCATCCCCCGCCCCCAAAAACCCTGTCCCCTGGGCAGTGGCTATAGCTCAGTGGGTAGGGCACTGGCCACATACACTGAGGCTGGCAGGTTCAAACCCAGGCTGGGCCAGGTTGACAACAATGGCAACTGCAACAACAACAACAACAATTAGCCAGGCGTTGTGGTGGGCACCTGTAGTCCTAGCTACTTAGGAGGATGAGACAAGAGAATCGCTTAAGCCCAAGAGTTTAGGGTTGCTGTGAGTTGTAACACTACAGCATTCTACCAAGGTCAACATAGAAAGACTCTGTCTCAAAAATAAAAAACAAAAAACAAAACCCTGTCCCCTGGCTGGGCTCAGTAGCTCATGCCACACTTGGTAGGCCAAGGGGGGATGGATTGATCACAGGTTTGAGACCAGCCTGAGCCAGAGTGAGACCTTATCTCTAAAAATAGCCGGGCACTGTGGCAGGCACCTATAGTTCCAGGTACTTGGGAGGCTGAGGCAAGAGAATCACTTAAGCTCAGTAGTTTGAGGTTGCTGTGAGCTATGATACCACAGCACTCCTACCAAGGTGAATAAGAGAAACTCTGTCTCAAAAAAACAAACAAAAAAACCCCTGTCCTCCCAATTCTCAGTCAGGTGGATTTGAGAAATCTGTCCTATCTCCCTACTTAGCACTTTGTGGAATAAACTCTTCCCCACTGTAAACCCTGCTGTGTCTGA